TTTGACGGTTGCATCAGAGACCAGCAGTCATTTGGAGAGAGTGAGGATGGAGGGAGCCCGCTTCTGAATCCCCGCCTGAGCATCTCCGCCAGGTTTCTCTCACGCGCTCAGAAGAACTGCAGGTTGGCTTCCAGTGTTTTCTTCCAATATTCCAATATTTCTTCCAATATTCTTCTAATATCTGAGGGGCTGCCCCAGAGAGGAGGAAGGGGTCAAGCTATTCTCCAAAGCATCTTTGAAGGCCAGACAAGGAACTATGGATGGAAACTGAACAAGGAGAGATTCAACCTGGAAATAAGGAGAAACTTTCTGACAGTCACAACAATCAACCCGTGGAGCAGAAGTTGCCTTCAGAAGTTGTGGGAGCGCCATCAGTTGAGACCTTCAAGAAGAGACTGGACTGCCACCTGTCAGAAATGGTGTAGGGTCTCCTGCTTGGGCGGGGAGTTGGAGTAGATGACCTAAAAGGTCCCTTCCAACTCTGATTATCTGTTATCTGGCTGCTTCTGGTCACGTTGGCTCTCCGTTTGTGGGGATGCTTTGCCTGGAAACCAGCTCTGAGGTGGTTCTCTTCCACACAGATTTGCAGCGGCGTTTTTCCCAAGAGTCTGCCCGCTGGTGCAGGCAGCCACTGCTGAACACCCCTCAGAGGAGTGCGTACCACTCAGCGATTTCACGAAATGCAAGGCAAGTTTGTGTGGTGCAAATCTTTTAACAGCCTCCCACAAAAATCGCTGTGCAGCCATTAAATGGGTGGCATGTATTAGTGGAAGAGGACGTCTGTGGAGATACTCAGCCATCGAGGTCCTGGTTGACCCAAAGGTGTTTGTTCCAAGAGGCAGCTGGACTTTGTATTTCTTCGAAGACGTTTCGCTTCTCATCCAAGAACCTGAAGAACTGAAGAAGCTTCTTCAGATGAGAAGCGAAACATCTTCAAGGAAATACAAAGTCCAGCTGCCTCTTGAAAAAAGCACCTTTGGGACAATGGAGCAGGACGTTGCTGGCATTCCCTAGATCTGGGGTCTCCAACCTTGGCAACTTGAAGACTTGTGGACTTCAACTCCCACAGTTCTCCCAGAATTCTGGGAGTTGAAGTCCACAAGTCTTCAAGTTGCCAAGGTTGGAGACCCCTGCCCAGGATTAATTCCTCAAATTTCAAATTAAATCTGTTAATGACATTGGAAAAATTCTAGCTCTGTCTCAGATCTTTTATTTTATTTTAAATTTAAAATGAGAGAAAACTCCCTTAATGTCTCAGTTAGCAACAGAAATGTTGGGCTCAATCCTCGTAAAATGGGGCAAAACTCACTTAACAACCGTCTCATTCAGCCACTGAGACGAAATGTTGGGCTCAATTGTGGTCGTAAGTCGAGAATTCTGTATAGATGCCTTGCATTCTGACTTCCATGGCTGGGGTGAAAGGGAGGACTCCGTCACACAATTTACATGATTTGAGAACCTTTTAACAATTACGACCCCCCCGCCTTCCCCCAAATATCAGTGGGAGGAATTTGGTGAATGCTCTGGAGCCTCTAATCTCCCAGCTTCCTGCAGAAAAGCTGGTGGGTGATTTAGGACCAAGAAAGAGCTTGGAAACCCATTTCTAGACCTCTTGAAGTAATACAAGTCGGCGGTGGAATAGGGAGCCCCACCCAACACTCCTGACTCGATAGGGAAACGAAGCTGCCGGCCGAGAACCCGCTAAGTGGCTCTCTAACCTCTATGAAATACCTGATTTTTAGAAACCTCCCCCAGAAATCCACCCCGAGGTGAAAGGAAGCCTCGAGGCCAAAACATCCCGTGTTTCAGGTAAGAGTGTTGACCAAACAGATAGATAATTGGAGCAACCCTTTTCTTTTCTATTTTCTTTTTTCTTTTCTTGGGATAAAACGGGCTTGATCCAGTCCCTCGTGGGTGCCCTGCAAAAGGACAGCCAGCTGACAGGATCACTTGGAGCTGTTTACCTGTCCCTGTCAAAGAAGGCAGCAGCCAAGGCTATTCCGGCCAGCTGGATTTTTTTGTCTTTTTCCCAGCCTTGGGTAAATCTCCAAAGAGGTTTTTGTTGTCACTGTTGTTGTTTTTCCCCTCTGTTCCCTTTCTCAGAAATTCAGGCTCTCGTCAAAAATTTTGAGGGCAGCTTGCAGTCCCTACGCCTCAAATTTCAAGAGAGTTTGCAACTGTACGATAAGGTAAGGGGTGACTCTGGCATTTAACCCCCCAAAAAAGGAAAGATGCGGGTTTTACTGGGATGGGTGTGTGCCAGGTTTTAAAAATGGGCTTTGTGCTACATCAGAGATGTCCAACCTTGGTCCCGTCAAGATTTGTGGACTTCAACTCCCAGAATTCCCCAGCCAGCGGTGCTGGGAGTTGAAGTCCACCCATCTTCAATTGTTTGCTGGCTAGGGAATTCTGGGAGTTGAAGTCCACAGGTCTTTTAAAGGGACCAAGGTTGGACCCCTCTGTGTTATATTCTAAGGTACTACTTTTTTCACCTCTGTCCATAAGTTGCGATGAAACAATTAAACATGGCAGCACATCTTGAAACATGCAGAGCTTTTAACCTCATGGCCATCTTGACCAGCTCCTCCTCCTCCTCCTCCTCCTTTCCCCACCCCAGTTACTTCGGTTTTTTATGTTTTTTATAACGCCACCTCGGGAAAAGAGGGCAAGGAAATCCTTGCTTCACCCGGGCATAGCCAGGTGGCCGTGCCAGAAAGCGTTCCAATGTTTCAGGTGGTGTCTAGCCCCGGTGGGACCGAGGAGGAGCTCGCCCACGTCCAGCAGAGGCTTTCTAGCACCTTCCGCTGGATGAAGAGCGAGCTGGCGGCCAGAGACAGCAAGGGCAAAGCCGACGTAGCCACCGCCACCGACCCCTCGTCCTTCTGGCCGATCTGCCTCCGGGAGGGCGAGGCCCACGCGCTCCTGAAGCACTACTCTGACTCTCTCCTGAACGTGGTTCAGAAGAAGCTGGAGGAGGCCCGGAAAACCAGCCTGCCTTGAAGGACACCCCCCCCCCGCCCCCAGTTCCTGCCCCTTCCGCACATTTGCCACGCACAGATGTCCGTTTCGGTGGGACTCCCAAGGAGCTGAGACCGTGTGACACGAGCACCGATTCACGTGTTGCCTTTTAGCACTTTGTTCGCATCCATAGGAAAATCTCAAAGGTTCGCCCAGAAACGCTGACAATGTTGAATGCCTCCTTTTATGGGAAAAGAAAATAATAATAATAATAATAATGTTTTTATAAGACTGAGGAAAGAGGGATAAAACTCGAAAGGGGCGTCTTGAAATTCTCCTGTGGTTGCTGTTTTAAACTCGGGTTGCAGCACAGCTTTGTAACGGTTTACTCTTTTTTTTAAAAAAAAAAAGGTTTTAAATGTAATAAAATATTTTTGGATTTGAAAGAGAGGTGCAGTTTGACTTTGTCATGTGTGAAGCTCTGGGAGAGAACTTCCAGAGAGGCGGCTGTGTTTTCCTGTTTCAAGCGAGTTTAGGAAAATCGACAAAATGATTGTGGCATCAATTTTCAATCAGTTCATTTTTATGTGTAAAACGTTAGCCTGCTTTCCAGTAAAATGCGTCGGAAAGCAAGCCATCTGCCGAGAGCATTCCTTTTCAGCGCTGGGGGAGCTGAAAGAGCTGCCTTCCAAAGGATTTCAGCTCCGTGCCCACTGGGATTTTGACAAGCGGGAGCCAAAATCCAAGCTGGATTTTCACACACACACACACACACACACACACACCCCGAGCAGAGAGGCTATAGTAAAATAAGGAGCATGGGGTGTCGTGTCTTGGAGTTGAAGGAGAGAAGCCCCCCACAGGCCACACATCCTGTAACTGAATCTCTGCTCAGGGCTGAAAACCCCGCTTGGATTTGGCTGAAAACTGCCCCCTGAAGGATTTCAGCTCCATACCTCCTGAAGATCTTTGGACTTCTGACTAGGGAATTAGTTGAAGTCCACACGTTTCCAACTAGCAAGGTTTGAGAAACGCTGCATTAGAGCTAAGGACGAGGCAGGATTGCATTCCTGTAGCCACTTGGTTCAAGGAAGGCGTGGGGAGGGGGCTTCACAGGAAACAGGGATACAGGTAGTCCTCAATTTATGACTATAATGGAGCCCAAAATTGCAGTTGTTAAATGAGACATTTGTTAAGTGAGCTTGGTTCCATTTTACAAACTTTTTAGCCACAGTTGGTAAGTGAAACCAGTGCAGTGGTTAAGTTAGTAACACAACTTGTCGGAAGGTCACAAAAGTGGATCACATAACCTGGGGACACCGCCATAAATATGAACCTTCTGAATTTTGATTGCGTGACCACGGGAATGCTGCAACGGTCATGACTGTGAAACATGGCCACTTTTTCAGGGCCGTTATAATTTGAACGGTCACTTAACGAACTGTGGGAAGTCAGAAACGACCCTATTTTTGTTTGGGCTTGCAGGTGAATGTTTCCCAAAGCTCTGTCCGGGCTGCAGGTGAGCCGTTCCCCAGGGTGGTTTGTTAATCAAAAAAAAGAAAAGGACGCGCCCATTAAAATCACACTGCTCCGGAACCTGACCACGGAAACAGGTTTATTCAAATCGGAGCACTCAGCGGGACATGGAAATCTGGCGCTGTTTGGAAAGAGAGACCTGTTTGCTTTCGAGCGCAAAGCAGCAGGAAGAAAAATCTTGGGGACACGAGGCTCCCCAACTCAACAACCCCGAGTTCCACTGGATTAATGATCTGGTTCAGGGATCCCAGTTTGATTTGCAAACAAAATTTGGCTTCATTTCCCCGCAATGTTTGGCCTAAGCCGACTTTCCTTCCCAGCCCCGTAGAAGAGAGAGAGAGAGAGAGAGAGAGAGAGTGGCTAGGCTCAGCTAGATGACCCTTGAGGAAAAGGGTCCCTTGTGCATCCTTGGCTTGGGAATTCCAGGAATTGAAATCGGCACCTCTTAAAATTGCTAAGATGGACAAGCGTTGGTAATGCAAAGGTTCGGTTTCTGTCGCACAATGAACTATATTTCTGTGCTTGTCACTTTTTTTTTTTTTGCTAATTTATCAAATGTTCTGGGCTTGAACATTTCCGGCCTGTTGTGCTGCTGGTGGCAGAAGGCTTAGCTGGTCTTCTCATGTTCTGATTTTTGTCACAGCTTTTGACGATAAGATGACTTTCCTGTCCCGGTGGCAGCCAGAGGGATGGATAACTGACCTTAACGCTACTCTCCAGAGTTAAATAGCAAGATTTGCATAGATTGAATGGGAGCTGCTGTAAGTCAATTGTAATTAGAAGCGCCCAGTATGCAAAAGAGGTGCGATGAGATGTCCTCTCCTCACCCCACCCCACCCCAATTTAGATGCAAATTGTCAGGATATCAAGAGTTGCTCTTTTTAAATTGCCCACCCACAGAATCATTCCTGCTCATCGGGACTGTGTTGAGATTTTGGACTTTGCCGGATGAGGGACAATTAGCATGGTCACTTCTGGAGTCTTTCCTATTCTTTTGGGGAGGAATTGGGGTCCTTGACTTGGAAAGAAAAAAGCAACAGTTTGCATTTAAAATTTTTATTAGGGTTTCTTGGTAACGCTGGCTCTTCAAATTGTTTGAAATTATAGGCCGGACTTTTGTTGGGGAGTAAGTTCAGATTGTAGCTTTGCTGAACCTTGGGGTTGGACTGGAAGACCTCTAAGGTCCCTTCCAACTCTGGTGTTCTTTTACAAGAAGAAATAAGTTGGTACGGAAGGAGACCTCCAGGTTTAGGCACGGGGGTGAGCACCCTAAAAGGTAGTTTCTTCTTCCTGGACATGAAGTGTCTACCTTAAGGACCTTCCACTGTCGGTCTTCACCGTCTTGCTCAACGCGTTGGTCCATCTGAACATCCATCCTGGGAGAAACCCAAACCCGGCATCCAACCAGCTATGCCGAAGTCCTTTCTGATAAAACGCCGTAAATCGGCACCGCCAGGAACACGGAACTGGGGGGACATCCCCGACCGGCTCCGGGGAGACTTGTACGTACCAGGTAGGTGAACTACTAGAATAGTGTTTTTTTTCTGAGCAGTGGCCGTTACGGTCATGTTGGCAGAGGATGATGGGAATGAGGGACTCCGCCTTCCGGAAGGCGGCCCGTTGGGGAAGAACTGCCAGCGGAGAGAGCGAGAGCGCAAGGGAGTTTTCCTAGCATATCCACGGAGATGCCTTCTAGCAGGGGTCTCCAACCTTGGCTACTTTTAAGACTGGTGGACTTCAACTCCCAGAATTCCTCCTCCTCCAGTCATGTTAGCTCAGGAATTCTGGGAGTTGAAGTCCACCAGTCTTAAAGTTGAATTCTGGGAGTTGAAGTCCACCAGTCTTAAAAGTGGCCAAGGTTGGGGGACCCCTGCTCTACAGGTTCGTCCTCCACTTAACAACCACAATTTTGAGCCCAAAACGTCCACGGCCAATTCTGCTAAGTGGGTTTTGCCCCATTTTACGACCTTTCTGGCCACAGTTTTTAAGTAAATCACTGCAGCTCTTGAGGGAATCTGGCTTCCCCGTGGACTTGGCTTGTAAAGAAGGTCACAGGAGAGGAAATCATGTGACCCCGGGATGCTGCCACCGTCATAAATACGAGTCAGCTGCCAAGCGCCCTGGATTTTCATCATGAGACCATGGGGACGCGGCCATCGTTACGCGTGTGAAAAACTGGTCGTCAGTCACTTTCGTCAGCGTCGTCGTAACTTGCGGACTGTTAGTTCAGGGCTGCCTGTATTTGCAAAAGCCACTAAACGTAGCGCCTGTCAACTCATAAAATATTTCTCTGGTTTTTTAGAGGTGCCAACAGAAAGGGAGGGGCGAGCAGTTCAGCAGCTTGCAAAAACCAAAAGTGCATTCCATAAATGTTTTCAAAGATAGTAACTAGGTGACCGAAGTTTCTAACCGGAGAGCATGATTGATGACTCTGAGCTATGGATGTGTCTTGTTGGAGAATATGAATTACGATACACCCAGAAGGGGTGGGGGGAAAACCAGGGTCAAGGGTGACAATGAATGATGATGTGTCTCAGAGTCGGCTGCACCCAGGCAGTGCTGGCATGTTCACTCCTAATAAATCATATCGAAGCTTTGAAAATCCGGCTAGAGACTCATGATTAAAAATGGGGGCAACTACTGGAGCCCTGACTGTGTCCTCGTTGGCGCCCTCGATGTCTTAGAGAGCGGAGCGGCCCCAGCCCTCGTGCACCCAAACCTCAGCCTCAGCAGCAGGAGCGAGTGGGATGGAGGAGACGCCCCCCATCGCTTTCTCCAAAACCTGGTTTATCCGCAACCACCGGCCGTGGGAAAGGATCCCCCGGCCAACAAGGTAAGGCCACCCCAGAATGAAAAGACCCCGGGAAAACTGGATTCGGGAGCTTAGCAAATTCCGTAAGTCAAGGGGGAGATTCTTCACAGGATGCCTGCGTGGCCTCAGCCTTGGTCATTTTAGGGGGTCGGCCCAGCCAGAGAATTTGGTATACGGTGAGGTTTTTTGGGGGGGGGGGGGGGGGGGGGCTGTTTTAACTTCGACTTTTTTTTTTCCAAATTAATTTGGGTAATTATATTATCTTTTGATCCTGGTTTGTTGCCCAGAGTTCTTTTGGTAGATTGGGGGGGGGGGGAATTTAAATATTTGGAAAGGGAGGTGAAAAAGGGAGAAGGAAAAGGGAAGAAAGGGAGGGAGGGAGGGAGGAAGGATGGATGGAAGGTGAAAAAGGAAAGAGGTGAAAAGAAAGGGAGGAAGGGGAAAGAGGAGAAAAGGAAGAAAAGGAGGGAGGTGAAAAGGGAAAAAAGAAGAGGGAGGGAGGGAATTGGCCAATGGTGCGGGAAGCAGAGTCCTTCAGCCCATCGATATCTGGAGGGCCAGAGATTCTCCATTCCAAACCCACCATTCTCACAAACAAATCCTGATTGCTCAAATCTGTTATGTTTTTTTTACCAACCTGGTTTGCATACTGTCAATTCGTCCCTCGGGGACCTTAGGAGCCTTCCTGGGTCTGTATCATGTGCCAGCCCTCCCTCCCTCCTTCCCTCCTCTTTTCAGGGCAGGGGTCTCCCCGCCCAGGGGGGCTTCCAGTGCTCCGTCTGCAGCAAACGCTTCCCGCTGCAGCGCATGCTGAACCGCCACGGCAAGAGCCACAGTCCCGTCAAGAGGCACCGGTGCCACTACTGCAGCAAAGGCTTCAACGACACCTTCGACCTCAAGAGACACCTGAGGACACACACAGGTGAGGGCTGGCAGGCCAGCTGGGAAGGGAAACACATTTACGTCTGCTACGGCCAAGACCTCCACTTACGACTGTTCATTTAGTGACCGTGGATCTTAGTGGCAGGTCCACTAAGAAAAAAAAAAGTGGTTTATAACTGGTGCTCGCATGACCACAATTGGGGGGGCAGAATTTGCACCCCTAAGCAAGGCAGTGGTTTATCCAGTTGGGCCCAACTTCACGACTGTGATTTTTTTTTTGTTAAGCGAATCACGGCAATTAAGGGGCCGTTAAGCGAATCCAGCTTCCCCCATTCACTTGCCTTCTTGGAAGGTCGCAATGGTCAGAAATACCCACCGGTTGTCGAACGCCCCAATTTGGATTGGTGCCACTTTTGGGGAAGGCTGTAAACGGTCGTAAATGCAAGTCCTGAGCCCCTTTTTCGCGGGGCCAACTTTGAACGGTCGCTAAATGTACCTTTGCAAACTCCCGCCTGTCGCTGCCCGCAGGCATCCGTCCGTACCGCTGCTGCCTCTGCCAGAAGGGCTTCACCCAGCGCTGCTCCCTGGAGTCTCACCTGAAGAAAATCCACCGCATCCCCCAGACCTATGGCTACCGGGAACGCCGGGAAAAGCTCTTCGTGTGCGAGCAGTGCGGCTTCACTTGCGGCACCAGTGACGAGTACTATGGGCATGCGCGCCACGGCCACTCCGCCGGGCCCTACCTGGGGGGCCACTTCCCTGAGCCCGGAGCAGCAGCTTTTCAGGACCAATTGCACCTTCTGCTCAGATAAGAGGCCGAAGCCAGGCAGGTGTGTCTTTTGGTTTTGTTGTTTTTTAAAAAAAAATAGACGCCGAGGCTGCAGCCTTTTCTGTGAAAAATAAATCATTTATTAGAACAAAGGACAATTCAGACAGGCTGAACGGATAAATAGTGGAGAATCGCAGCGGGGGAATCATGGGTAGGAAGAGGACGTCTCGGAGGGTTTCACTCTGTCCAGCGGTGACCGCAGTGGGGGGCTGTGCAGACATAGTAGAGGCGCATGGCATCCTGGGAAAGAAAGAGGGGTGGGGGGAAAGGCAGCCATGTGATGACCCAAAGCGTGAAACAAAAATAACACAGTCACAAAAGTAGAATAAATTCCCTTTAATGCCTCCAACTCGGCCTCCAATGTCCAGTTATCCTCGGTGGGAGATCAAACTCTTCCAAAAACAGTTTACAAAGGGAAAAAATGCAGTCCAAAATACAGATAAATTAGAAATAAAAAAAACAACACAAATGACACTGAAGTAATTAACATGGCAGGCCAGGATAATAAATTGCAGACTTTCAAAGGATAACGCAGCACCCACAGTTGGGAGGACGCCAGAACACAGATAAGCCTTGACCAAGATAATGCACACTTTGCTTCCAGCAAGGAGCTGTGTGCAAACGCCCTTCTTATATCCTGTTCTCCCAGATGCAACTAATGAAGGGGATCAGGGCCCTTTTCTCTCCTGTAAGCCAGGTTGCTCCCTTCTCCGTTCCTCCCTGCGTGCCCTAGAATGAAGAGGGGATGGCCCTGGGTCTTCCTCTGAATACCCAGCCATACTGTGCCCTTCCCCCATGTCTTCCACAGCCACCGGAGCAACACTCCCACTCCCAGTCAGGTGCTAAATTTCCCCCTCAGAATCAGAGTCCAGCAAGGGCATGACAGAAGCAAAGGATCTCCAGCGGGCGCCTAAATCAGCTCTTTCTGATCCGGTCTTCTCTAGACTAGTTGGGGTACCATCCCTCTTGCCCACAAGGGTCACAGAGGGGGGGTGGTTGAGGCTGAGACCGCCTGGAAGGGCCTCCAATAGCAAAACCTGAAAATTCTGCATTTCCAAATCCTGGAAAGTTTGGGCTAGAGGTTAAGATACCAGGTGACAGGGAGTTCTAGTCTCAGCATAAAAACTGCCTGGGTTACTTTGGGCCAATCCCCAGGACATGGTGAGTTCTAGTCCCGCCTTAGGCATGAAAGCTGGCTGGGTGACTCTGGACCAAACACCAGGAGGCTGGGAATTGTAGTCCCGCCTTAGGCATGAAAGCTGGCTCTGGGCCAATCCCCCTCTCTCAGCCCAACCTACCTCACAGGACTGTTGTTATGCGGAAAATAAAAATAGGAAGGGGAAGGATTGTGGAATGTGTGCGCCACCTTAAGCGATTTGTAAGGATAAAGGTGGGATGCATACAAATAAACAAACATCTCTGTTCAGAGTCCAGGCTGAACACTTTTCACTCCCATTATATCAACTGAAAACTCAAGTCAGACTTGGCCCCAAAGGCATCCAGGTTTGCGATGACAACGTCTCTTGGGGCAGCAAAAGGCCCATCGTGGCATTTCAGAGCGATGTCGTCCTAAGGCGAAACCCTCCACCACCCTCCTTAAGTTAAAAGGGCACCTGTTCTTACCTCAGCCCTGGCGCTGTGAGACTGGAAAAAGACGGCTTCTTTGTGGCCACACCTGGAAGGCAAAACCAGGCGTCAAGCAAGGTAGGGAAACAAATGCAGAACGTGGCTGGTGGAATTCTCTCCGGTCTCCATTTGATCAACTGGACCTGGGTGTGCGCACACACACACACATACACATGATGCCTGGGCAGGCTGCAAGCTCACTCTGCAGTGGGTCACCCGGATAGGAAGGTTGGATTGGGGCAGTCAGCAGTATTCTAACTTTCAGAGTTTAGTTTGCTTTATTGTCACTGCACCTCGCGCAATGAAATTAAATACCATCTTCAGTGCACATTATGACTATGAAAATAAACACAACACACTTCCTTCCCCATTCTACACATTGAATGGACTTACTGTCCATCCCCAACTATTTCTGCCAATTTCCAAATCTTTTTTTCCCTCACCCTCCAAATTTGGCCCCTTTCTGTGCTGCTTGCAAAGGTCTCTTTTTTTGAGGGACAGAATCCCAGCCCCTCAGCCTGGTTCAGGATAAAATCTCAAAGAAAGCCCCCAAATTCTTCTCGCTTTCAAGCTTTAGAATAGTGTTTCTCGACCTCAGCAACTTTAAGAAGTGCAGACTTCAATTCCCAGAATTCCCCAGCCAGCCAGGTACAATTTTAGAAGAAAGCTGCTGATTTCTACCACGTGCCTCCATCTGTTGTGGTTAGCTGGCAGCAGGTGCGGACGGCTGAGGAGAGCGAGCACTCAGGTGAGTGGCCAGGACCATTAGGGAGTAGACTGCTGCCTTCAGAGATTGTGGGGGCTGGCAGCAGCGATGAGGAGGTTCCCGAGGAGCCTGTGCCAAGTGCGCGTGCACACAGGATTGCTCACAGGAAAGAGCAGCTGCAACAGCACAGGTGACTCGGGAGTAAGGCTGCAAGGTAATGGCCGCTCCTTCAAGAAGATAAAAGCTAGCTGTGAAACGAACCTTCTTTGCAGGAAGCAAAGATGTTTTGAAACTCAGCCTCGTGGACATTCCAGTATCTTAAGTTGGTACTTGAAGACTCTTGTGTTGTGAAATATTTCTTATCTGTGATTCTTGGCTGTCTTGCACAGTTTGTGCTTATCAAAGTTTATTAGTTTGCTGCAGCCTTTTAACCAGGGATTCGTTAGACTCATTAAAAGGTTTCTGTTCCCTTTGGTTATTATTTTACTGGAAAAGGGTTTGGGTCAGAACACCATCAGAAGACTTTTTTTTAAGCTAAAGCAACTAATACTCACTTCTGACAGGGGTGATCCTCCGTCCGGGGCAGAGTGGGATCCTGGGAGACATCCGCGATGATCTGTGTTAATTCACTGAAAGCAAAATACTAGATTTATTTATTTAACCTGGGTGGCCTGGTTTACAACAAATAAAATCAATCCAATCATAGGAAATACCAGATAGTCCTCGGTTTATGGTCACAATTAAGCCCAAAATCTCTACTGCTAAGCAGGCAGTTGTTAAGTGAATTTTGCCCCGTTTGACTTGTCTTGCCACTGTTGTTAAGCGAACCCCTGCAGTTGTCAAGTTAGGAACACGGTCGTTAACTGAATCTGGCTTCCCTGTTAACTTTGCTTGTTGGAAGGCTGCAAAAGGGGAACACGTGACACACACACACACACACACCCGGGACACTGTGACTGTCGTAAATGCGAGCCAGTTGCCAAAGGTCTGAATTTGGATCATGTGACCACAGAGAGGCTGCAACGGTTGTATGTGTGAAAAATGGTCATTAGTCACTTTTCTCAGTGCTGTTGCAACTTTAAATAGTCACTCAAAGAATGGTTGTAAGTTGAAGACAACCTATATACCATAAAAAAAAAAGAGGAGGTTGGACTAGAAGACCTCCAAGGTCCCTTCCAACTGTGTTATTCTAAGAAAAACAACAGCAGCCAGACAGGATCTAATCAGTCTTATGTTATAACCTAGACATGGGCTCTCACCAACACCGAGGTCCCAGGCTCAACCACCAAGCCAACTTTTCAAGGCCTTAGGGAAGACCAACTAGGGCGGGGTCAATCTAATCTGGGGAAACGATGCCCCAAAGGGAGGGTGCCACCACAGGTGAGGCTCTCCTTGCCAGCCCACATCCCTAGATGAAGGTACCCACAGTGATCAGATAGCAGGGGTACAAACAACTGAGCAGAAACAATGCTGGGCTTAAACCGCAAAAAAGATTTTGAGGCTAACGCCCAGTGCCTTGGATTGCACCTGGAAGCTGGGGGGCACCTGGTTTCACAATTTGCAAGGGCAGAGCAGAGCCGGTGGGGGTGACCCTGCGGCCTCCCCCCTCAGTCTGAGGGGCACGGAGGGGGGTTCCTCCCCAAACTTCTCCCCCCACCGAGTAATTTTTTTCTTCTTCTGGGGTCCCCCAGGTGTCAGGGCTCCAACAACTCTACCCCCATTCAAATCATAAGTCTCTAGCCGCATCCCTCACAGTAAAAAAAAGGATGATTTATTAGGAGTTAGCCATGTCGGCGTTAGCTGTGTGCAGCCAACACTAAAATACACCATTCATTTCCCCCTTGACCCTGGTCTTCCCTCCCATCCCCTGGATGTATATTCTCCAATGGGACACATCCATAGCCCAGAGTCATCAATCATGCTCTCCAGTAATAATCTTGTGCACCAACAGCTTCGGCTGCCAAGGCGATTATCTGAGGCATTTAAGGAATGCACTGCAAGAAGGTGCAGTGTAAGGCCCGGTCACCATCCTTGTGTCTTGGCCAAGTGGCCATGCAAGCTCCGATGGCTGATGGCGCTTGGGAGGCCCCGGAGTCCAAACGCTTCC